GGGGGGGGGTGGCGGAGAGCAAGAGCAAAGCTCTGCAGAGCTGTCCTGTGGTTCAGCAGATGACTGTAGCTGGAGAGTCCTAATTATCCCAGAGGCTTCCTGTCAAAGAGCCACTAAGACATGGGAGGCACACTTATCTAACTAGCTGACTCACTGATGACACAAAGATGGGCCTTATGGTTCGTAATTGAGACTCGTGAATCAAAATTGTTTTCAACATTGGAACATTTGCAAGTTAATGTAAAAATGATAGGACTTATTAAAAGGATCTAAGAAGATGACTGAGAAGCAGAATAAGTAATGGTCCAGAACAGCAATGCTGGGCCAGGCCATCTAGGTTCAAACCCAAGTCTGCCACCAATTGGCTGTTTGACCACAGGCTAGTGAGCAGTCTTGCTGTGCCTTGGTTTCCCCACCCACCTCTTGGGGTTGTAGGAATTAAGTGAGTTAATATGTGGTCAAGTGCTTCGAACAGTGCTTGGCACATGGTCACACCTACATAGGTTTACCACGACACGTGGTCTTGTGTTACCTGAGGGAGTGGCCATGCTGTTAACAGAAATTATAGTGGTGAGCGTTCAGATGCACCACCCTTATCAACCTGCTCTTCAGTCGGACACCAGAGGGCTTGTCTCCACCTGCCCTCTTGACGCTCCTAATGCACTGTTGCAACGCTCTGCCTTACATCAGGCTTTTTCTTCTCTGCCCCATGTTCTTGGGATTTAGCAAGTCCTTTGGACCATCTCTTGGGTTTGACCTCACATTTGCCCGTGGTGCTGTTTCACTCTTGGAAGCAATGGGTCAGCCCAGCTCTTGGCTCCCAGCCACTCCCCTGTTTCTGGCGGGTGAGGGGTGTCAGGGTGCAGGCTGCCCTCTGGCACAGCACAGGAAGGATGGATCTACTTACAGAGAGAAGATGGTGAGAGTTTCTGATTTGGGGACATGCTGAGTTTGACACATCTGGAATCAGGCAGGTGGGCATTTCACAATTGATTGGAAATGTCAGTCTGGAATTGAGACAGCAGTTGGACTGGAAATGTCTGTGTCATCAGAGGGATCCATGCAAGGCAACAAGCCAAGCTACCCTAAAAGAGAGACTCCAGGGAGGAAGAGCAAGGGGTGGAGGGCAGGCTCCAGGGAGGGCTGGGTGGCAGGGAGTAGGTTAACAAAGAGCAGGGAATCAGAGAGGGTCCCGGGAATGCAGAGGGCGGTTTTCAAGCAGAAGAGAAGGGGGTAAGTGATGACAAGGAATGGTCCGGGGTCGGAGAGGTTGGCAGTTGAGGCTGGGTGGGAGGAGGAGCCCAGCAGGCAGGAATCAGACACCTCCGGAGCCTCTGGGTGGGCGCTGGACCGCAAAGGGCTTGGGGACGCAGGCCTGGGCAGGCCTGGCCGACGGTGGGGAGCAGGAGGGGCGGAGCTTAGAGCTCGCCCTCACACCCCGCCGCCGCCGAGCTCCGCTCCCGCGTTCCTCGCTCATTAAGCGCTCGTCGCCTTCACCAGTCCAGCGTCGGGGTGTGCCGCAGAACACGTAGAACCAGGGCGTCAGTTCTTGGGAAGCCGACGCCAGTGGGCCACGACCCCGGTGCCCCAGTCCCCCGGGCTCCTGAGACACCCCCGAGACCCTCGAGTCCCTCAGGTCCCCGCGATCCCCCAAGTCCCCAAGACCCCCTGAGTCCTCCGGGCCCCCCGAAATCCCCCAAGTTCCTGGGCCCCCCCGAGCGCCCGCAGTCCCCCGGGACCCCAGCCCCTCAAGCCAGGTCAGCCTGTCCGGACCTGCCCCTCTCTCTCCCCGCCTTCCCCGCGGATCCCAGAGACCTCCTCCGCGGGGGACCTCCGGCCGGACGGGGGCGCCGTGACACACGGAAGCTGTGCCTGCGGATACAGGGAGCACCCGGAAGTGACGCGCCGCCAGCGGAAGTCCCGCCCGCACGTCCGCTGCTCCCGGTCCCTCGTGGCTGATCGCCGGCATGGCGCACTACAATTTCAAGAAGATCACGGTGGTGCCGTCTGCTAAGGTAGGCGGCCGCGAGGCCTTGTCCGCAGTCGCCTCTCCCCTGCCGGGTCACCAGGAAAGCCCGAGCCTGTAATTCTGGGATGGGACAGGGGTCGTCTCCTCCGGCGGGCCCTCCTTCTTAAGCCACGTCGTCCCCAGATCAGGGCCTTCCAGGGTTAGCGGTTCCCCGCCGGACACTGAGGGGCCTTCTTCAGGCGTTAGGGTCCTTCCCTCCGGCGTTGGGGTCCTTCCCTCTGGGTTAGAGACCTTCTGCAGACTTTGGGATCCTCCCCAGAGAGGAGGGGGGGGAGTCGGGAAACTTTATGAAGTAGGTGTTTTTGAAGGAGCCTCTTAAGGATTCATAGAATTTAGTAGATGGAGAGGGGGGTACAGGCCTCCAGGCTTGATGTCTGTGTCCCTTCTGTTACTGACAGTGTTGTGGGCGCCTGTCCGCTTGTCTCTGCACTGGGCAGTTCAAGCAAGAGTTTATATTCTCAGTGACTTTCACATCTTAGGAAATTATAAGCAGTGAATTTTAGTTTTACTTGTTGTTTTATATACTTTCAAAGTCAAAGATATGCAAATTGAAATTGCAGGATTTTTTCTCTTTAATGTTTTTTCTGAGTTATGCTTGAGTTACCTGACTAGTTTCAGAGGGCCCTGGGTGTTTGGAAATTAAGGTAACATCAAGAAAGTGTGGGATAAAATTTATTTTGGTAGCCATTTGCTAATGTTTGTTAAAGGCCAGAAACTATGAACATGATCACAGTTGAATATAAAAGATTGAAGATTAGTTAGAAAAAGTGTTTGTAGTTGAAAACATGTGGTACCTTTGTTAGTCTTTTGAGAGGGTTTCAGATAAGTGGATAAAAAGTAGACATTTTTGGTGTACTGTGTCTTATTTAATTGCAGGACTTTATTGACCTGACATTATCGAAGACTCAACGGAAGACTCCAACAGTTATCCATAAACATTACCAAATTCATCGCATTAGACATTTTTATATGAGGAAAGTCAAATTTACTCAACAGAATTACCACGACAGACTCTCACAGATTCTAACAGATTTCCCCAAATTGGATGTAAGTGACTCGGGGACACAGTAATATAAATGTAAGCCATCAGATAATTGGTATTTCTAGCCAGTTTGTGTACTTACCTGACAAATAAGGAAGGAAACAAAATGATTCACGTGTTAGACTTTGTGAGTTAGTGGCAAAGCTGGGAACAGAGCACAGGTTTTTTGATTCCTTAGTATTCTTCCTTTCCCCCTGCCAAACCCCATATAAGAGGTCCTGGAGCTGTCTCTTCAGGCTTTCTCTGTCACTTCGAGGCTTGAGGTGCCAACCAAGCTCTCTCAAAGCTGTGCACTCTGAATCTGGCAGCTCACCAGCTTACGTGGGCTTCCTCTCCTTCCTCTTTCCAAGGTTCCTTTTCCTGGGGCCTCAAGTTACATCAGTGGCCTGAGGTCCACCACTGTTTGTGATCCTGTCGCTTCATCAGCCAGTGATGGTCAGTGAGAAGAAATTGTGTGGGGGAGCTTTGATTTGTGCATTGAGCCAAAACAGTTGAAATTGTCGCTGACAGCATAGTCGAGTTTGCTGTTGATGAAGCTGTAGAAAGCAAGAGCAGACCCTGCTTACCCCACAGCTGCAAGGTGATTTGAGGTGGTGAAGGATGTGGGGTAGGGGCAGCAGTACAGGGTGAGAACCTAAATTTGCCACTGTCCCAAAACAGTCCGTAAAGCTAGGTTAAGGCAGAGGAGAAAAGTTGGTTTATGTGACAAGAGTTTCTTTCGTATTTAAGGTGACAGTAGTTCGTTTAAACAATTACAGATGTGCTTAAAATAAGTGTAGAGGTTTATGCTAGCAGACAGGTATGCACTTTCCATGTGTCTCCCAGGCATGCTACAGGTGCTAAGTAGAGACTAGTTGAACACATGAACAGTTGCTGGGGAAAGGGTGGGTACCTTAGAAATTACCTGGAAGGAAGCAAAAGAATGAGATTATTGGAAACTGGTGTGATATTTGAAAACACCTGATCTGAGCAAGCAGAATGCTGTGAACTAATTAGTACCAGATTTTTGTAGTTCTTTGTAAGAAGTTTTATCTTTCTTCATCCTTGGTATTTTTTTATACAGTAGAAGTTTAAATTTGTGAACATTCTATTCCCCCCCCCTTTTTTTTTTTTTTGAGGGGTCGGGGAGGGGGAGAGAATCTGAAGCAGGCTCCACACTCAGTGTGGATGTGGGGCTCGATCCCACGACCCTGAGATCATGACCTGAGCTGAAATCAAGTCAGATGCTTAACCGACTGAGCCACCCAGGTGCCTCCTCCCCGCCCCCCCCCCGCATTTTTTAAACTAGAGTTAGCTATCTGAGAAGAATTTTAGAGTAGGAGGTTATAGTAGCTGCGTTCGCAGCATGACTGACATGTCTCGAGTTCTGTTCAGGCCCCGGGAGCACAGCAGTCATAGAGGCCCTGTGCTTGTCTAGTGAGGGAAAGACGGTAAGCGTGGAAATCTGCAGTGTGTCAGATGCGTAAGGAGAGCAGGGAGATTGTAGCAGAGGCCTGAGGGCAGTGAGGTAGTGAGCCGTGCAGGGCTTGAGTTCTGTCTTAAGCCTTCCAGGTTGAGCCTGGGACGTGCCGAGCTTTGACTTAGCTTTTAGAGGATGAGCGGCCCGTGGGGTAGGAGGCCACTGGAAGGTTGGTGCACTGGGTTTATTAGCTGGCGGCGGTGAAGAGTTGAGTGCTGGGGAGGAAGAGCTAATGGGTTTGCTCACAGCACAGGTGTGGCCCGAAGCACCTTGGACAGTGGAGTGGCCATCCATCCACACGGGAACGGGGGGAGGTTTGGGGAGGAGGAGGGCGGTTTGTATGTGTTGATCAAAATGTGGGTAAGACGTCACACAGAAGTGCATGTGGTCTGGAACTTTATGAGAGGTCTGGCCTGAAGATGTCTGTGCACTTAGATCCATGCGAGGTCACCCAGGACGTGAGTGTGGAGAGAAGAGTGTTCCTGGGAACCCTAATGTTGAGTGTTGGGTGGGAGCATGAGCCTGCAAGAGCAGAGTCGGTCCCGGAGTCCAGTTGAATAGAAAGCATCAGGAAGCGTGAGTGCCCAGCTGTCTGCTGTGCAGAGCTCTGCAAAGATGAAAGGAATTTGGGGAGGGGCTGATCTGATGAGCTGTTTTGATGGACTGGTGGAGACAATCCTGACTAACTTGGGTGTAAGGGAAGAAAAGAGCCAAGAGGGTAGCAAAGGAGTAGAAGGATTGTGGGTTCAAGGGGGCTTGCAGACTTTTAGATTTGGGGGGGTGGTGACAGCATGTTTGCAGGCCTGGATTCAGGTCTTGAGCAGTGGGGGAGGACTCTTGTGCACAAATGGAGAGTTGGCTGGGTCTGTGGATGGGGTGAAGGGGGCACAATCTTGGGCCCAGGCCAGGTGGGCAGACAGAAGTGACCCCTGAGCTCACTTAGATGTTTTCTCAGAGCTAAGCAGTCATCAGTCAGGAGAGAGGGCTGGGGAGAAGATGCTGGGGGTTTGAGGAGAGAGGAAAGGAGGGATGTATTTCCCTAGGAAATTATTCTGCAAGTATTGTTGACACATTGGGATGAGAAATCTGTGCCAAAAGACCAATTTGTTTCTGTTTTAGGATATCCATCCATTTTATGCTGATTTGATGAACATTCTCTATGACAAGGATCATTACAAGTTGGCTCTAGGACAAATAAATATTGCCAAAAATTTGGTGGACAAGTAAGGTATTTTCTTAATACAGTATCTTTCAAATTATTGTCCAGAGTGAAAAACATGTCATATATTTGTTTTTATTTAAGTGTGGCTAAAGATTACGTGCGGCTCATGAAGTACGGAGACTCTCTGTACCGCTGCAAGCAGCTGAAACGCGCGGCCCTCGGGCGGATGTGCACGATCATCAGGAGACAGAAGCAGAGTTTGGAATATTTGGAGCAAGGTACCTGTGATACATAAGCAAGAACACTGTTTAGTGTGCTGTTATGCTACTTGATTCTTGTCAAGAACGCATTTTTGGAATATTTGTTTTATTTTAGACCTAACAGGGTCAAATTACTTTTCCCCACCTAGCCCATGAGAATTTCTGACAGGCTAGTTACTATTGAAAAAGCAGCTAGCAGTTAAAATGCTTATAAATTATTAGTACTATTAAGAGAATTTGTTTTTCATATTTCATACATAAGGCACATACATTATAAGTCACAGGAAAAATACCAAGGAAATATGTAAAAAATAAAATGACCCATAGTTTTAACCTATTGACATAAATTTAAAAAAAAATTTTTTTTTTTTTTTTTGCAAAAAATCGCAATATGGGGCGCCTGGGTGGCTCAGTCAGTTAAGCATCTGACTTTTGGTTTCAGCTCAGGTCATGACTCAGGGTTGTGGGATCAAGCCCCTGTTGGTCTCTGTGCTCAGTGGGGAGTCTGCTTGAGATTCTTTCCCTCTGCCCTTCCCAGTCCAGTGTATGCATGTATATTGTCTCAAATAAATAAATCTTTAAAAAAGAGAAGCTTTGCAGTATGTGTTAGCATGAAATTGCTACTTCAGTTTCATTACATGATTGTTTTATTTTTAAGAGGACAGTTCTGAATTAGTGTAGTATCTCTAATGAAACAGTTACATGCCTTTTTATGTATATTTTTATGCTACAGATGTTTTTAAGTCATTGTGTTTTGTTCTTCCCCCGCCCCCCATCTTGCAAATAATTTGTAACAAGTTGTCGGACTTGACTGTTCTGACAGTGCTTCCAAGGATCTGTTTTGTCTGATCTTTTTTTTTTTAAGATTTATTTATTTAGGGGCACCTGGGTGGCTCAGTCGTTAAGCGTCTGCCTTCGGCTCAGCTCATGATCCCAGGGTTCTGGGATCGAGCCCCGCATTGGGCTCCCTGCTCCGCGGGGAGCCTGCTTCTCCCTGATGTTTGTTAAAAACAAACCAAAAAAGATTTATTTATTTATTTATTTGACAGAGACACAGCAAGAGAGGGAACACAAGCAGGGGGAGTAGGAGAGGGAGGAGAAGCAGGTCCCCCGCTGAGCAGGGGGGCCAAGTTTGACTTTCTCCGTTGTTCTTATGAAATAAAGCATATGTAATGTGAACTTCTCACAGTGCGGCAGCATCTGTCCCGTCTGCCAACTATTGACCCGAATACGAGGACCCTGCTCCTATGTGGATACCCGAATGTTGGCAAGTCCAGCTTCATCAATAAGGTTAGTTTGGGGATGCCTGGGTGGCTCAGTCAGTGAAGTGTTTGCCTCGGCTCAGGTCATGATCCCAGGGGCCTGGGATTGAGTCTCACGTTGGGCTCCCTGCTCAGCGGGGACCCTGCTTCTCCCTCTCTGCCTCTCCCCCTACTTGTGTGTGTGCTCCCTCCCTCCCTCTCTCTCTCTCTCAAATACATAAATAAAATTTAAAAAAATAAATAAGGTTAGGGATGCCTTGGTGGCTCAGTTGGTTAAGCGTCTGCCTTCGGCTCAGGTCATGATCTCAGGGTCCAGGGTCGAGCCCCACATTGGGCTCCCTGCTCCGTGGGGAGCCTCCTTCTCCCTCTGCCTCTGTGCTCTCTCTCTCTCAAATAAATAAATAAAATCTAAAAAAAAAATGAGAAATAAGGTTAGTCTGTGTCTGGCATTAACAAGTGACCAAGGACCTGAGGCCCAAGGGCTGCTGTGTCCTGTCCCTGTGGGTTGGAGGACGGCCGGCCAGTGAGTCCTTGAGTCAGTACTGCCCCTTGCTGTGCACAGCCCTTTACTCGAGGGGAGGATTGTGTCTGTCTGAATCCACATTTATATTGCTGTTACGGAAAACATTGTGTGTTCTGGTATGTGTTCCGTAAGCTTGTTTGGGATTCGAGACATTCCAGTTGGGGTTTGTTACGTGGAGAGCCTAGGCTGGGAGCGGGAGCGCCAGGAGAGCTGGTGCCGACTGACAGGCGGCACTTGCTGAATTGGACTTCGTGAGGTATTTCGTGGGTGTCACCTTGCTTGATGGGACACTTCTCACGTAAAGTATTTGGTCCACGTTGTGGGGAGTGGCTGAATTGCTCTTTACTTGAGTGAGTTTATTAATTGGGACTTGAGGACACTATTTATTTAGTAACTTGGTCCTTCAAGACAACTTAGCTGAGCTTCAGGGACCTGAACAGAGTAGAAAAAGCATTTAAGGGGCGCCGAAGTGGCTCAGTCGGTTAAGGGTCTGACTCTTGATTTCTGCTCAGGTCATGATCTCAGGGTCATGAGATTGAGCCCTGTGCGCATCAGGCTCCTGCTCACTGTGGGGTCTGCTTGAGATTCTCTTTCTCTCCCTCCACCCCTCCCACTTGTGCTCTTGGGTGCACACTCTATTTCTAAAATAAATAAATCTTTAAAGGAAAATAAAAGGTTGGTTCATAAATAAATAATGTAAAATGTCAGTTCACAACCAGCAGGAGCTCAGGTGCCAAACAACAGCAGTTACGTATGTGTGAATGTTGCTGCCAGGAACACTTCCACTTTGACCCTATTTGCAGGTCTTTATTTTGTCCCCAAGTTGTGCTGACATGATAGGCTGAAGCTTTGCGGTGTCCGAGCTCACGGCTCGAACGCTTGCGAGCCAGTGGCCACTTAATCCCTTACAATGAAATCGTAAACAGTTGAGGCCCTCGGTTGCACTGACCGCATGTCGAGAGTTGGCGGACGTGTGGCTGGTGGGCCCCATATCAGCCGTGCAGGTACAGAGTGTTTCTGTCTGCACAGCAAGTTTGTTGGGGCCGGGGTGGATCAAAGCAGAAGCTGACGGACACTCTCCAAGTACTGGCCCCCCACCTCCCTAGTATCTGATGGGGACTGTCACTGCCCTGGCCTGGTGGCGGGAGGAAGTGGATGGAGTCCGTCCATCAGAGAGCAGCAGCTTCGGTCCTCAGCAACGTAATCATGCCAGGTCTCTCTCCTTGTTTGGTCTTGTTTTGTTTTAATGCCGAAATCATTCATCTCTATAACCCATAGGTGCCACACAGACCTCTGAGAGGAAATAAGGTAAGGAGATTGTGTAACTGTTGGTGTTATGATTGTTTTGTTTTAGGTGACGAGAGCCGATGTGGATGTCCAGCCCTATGCGTTTACGACCAAGTCTCTGTTTGTGGGGCACATGGATTATAAGTATCTGCGTTGGCAGGTGAGCGCTCCCACCTTTAAACATAGAGCTCTTGTTAACGGGGTTTGATTTTGGGGATCCCTAAAGAACTAGAGTGTCTCCCTAATTCCCAGTGGGCTTAGGGAAAGACTCGGAGGAGGTGGGAGAGATTCTCAAGGTCACCAGGAACACCCCTGCAGAGAAAACTCCCCTGAGCTCCCCGGCTGCCCTCAGGGCAGTTCTCGGGAGGCAGGGGGTGGCCTGTGTTATGTTAACAGTGGTACTTCCGAAGAAACAAGTCTCCTTGTTGTCGTTGCTGACCCTGTCATTATAAATGACATTTATTAGCCATTTAAAAGCATGGAGCAGTTTCCACAGTAGAATTTCATTTCATAAACGATGAGGTTGTTCCTAACACATGGGAGAGTTTCCCAGTTGCTCTTCTGTTCTGCTCTGTCAGGGCCCCTGGCTGGCTCAGAGCACGTGGCTCTTGATGTCTGGCTCAGGAGCTCAAGCACCGTGTTTGGCATAGTTTGGCATATATCAAAAAGGGAAAAAGAGGAGTCCTTTTCTCCAGGTCATTGGCTAGTTCTTTTTTTTTTTTTTTTTTTTAAAGATTTTATTTATTTATTAGAGAGAGAGAATGAGAGACAGAGAGCACAAGACGGAGGAGGGTCAGAGGGAGAAGCAGACTCCCCGCCGAGCAGGGAGCCCGATGTGGGACTCGATCCAGGGACCTCCAGGATCATAACCTGAGCCGAAGGCAGTCGCTTAACCAACTGAGCCACCCAGGCGCCCGAAACTTTTTTATTAAATAAAGACAAAAATGGTTAGTTTTGGCATTTTGAAAGTTCAGGTACGGGAGAAAGTCTATATAAACTGGCAAACCATTTACTTGATGGAAGCCTGAGATTTCCATCTCCTTCTAGAAATCTGGATTTTGGTAATGCAGCATTGCCACTTGTCAGATGTGAGCGGTACGGTTTCATGGGCTGACTCTGTTCTCTTGTTTGTCTAAGAGGGAATTACGGCCGATGGGCCTAATCTTCCGGCTCCTGGTAGGCACAGGATTTGTCCAGACAGAGCGTTCTTCCCGTCCTTGTGTGCACGGGGATGAGGTCTGCAGCCCCCGGGCCCCAGGGCAAACTGCAGTGATTGAGACTGGCCAGCGCTTCTCGCAGAAGAGATCTGGACCGTGGAGACAGACTGCTAACCGGTCATGACAAGGCACGTGGACACTTGGGAGCTCACGTGTGTTGTGTGTTCTTGTGCTTTACAGATGGTGAAGAAAGCCAAGACTATGATGAAGAACGCTCAGAGGAAGATGAACCGCCTGGGGAAGAAAGGAGAAGCAGACAGACACGTGTTTGATATGAAGCCCAAGCACTTGCTGTCCGGAAAGAGGAAAGCCGGGAAAAAGGACAGGCGGTAGTGGCTGGGCGGGGTGGTGCCTGGCCTCATCTGGTGGAGGGGGTCCCAGGATCGGGGCACCGCCTGTAAACCGCAGACAGCGAGGACACCTGAAGCTCTGGCTGCTTGCTCTCGGGCGGGGGGCGCGGGTGCGGGAAGGTGTCAGCGCTGCCCCACGGCACGGGTCTTCCGAGTGGACGGCGGGTTCTGCATTTAGGGAGTTCTGGTCGCTTCAGATCTGCAGAACCGGAAAGGTGCACATCATGTGTGTTTTGATGGAGAAAAATCTTTCCGCAAGAGGGAACTTTGGTTCGTGTGTGTCTGGTCTTTTTTTGCGAAGAAAACCGCTCTGCTGTGGACACGGGCAGAAGGCTGCCAGCCGTGCCTACTGAGAGCCGCGCCAGCTAGTCTTTCTCTACAATGTGTGTACCCTTGTAGCCTGTCTCCAGCTAGTTCATCCAGGATGAACCTCTGAAAGAAAGTGGTTTTGGTTGATTTAGGGTTTTTTTTTTTTGTTTAGTTACAAATCACTGTAGTTTGGCCAAATGAAAAGGGAAAATAAACTAACTCCTGTTTTGAAAACAAATAGTCCTTCTCCGTGGGGTAAAACGTCACCTCAGGCACTGTAGCAGCCCAGCGTGTGTCCGGGAAACACAAGCAGCCCCTGCGCCTCCGGAGGCACACCCCCCTGCCGCGCCCGTCCGCGGCTGTCCTGAACGGAGGTCACTGTGGCGCGGGAGCCCGCCCTCGCCGCCGCGCCGTTGTGCCCGCCTCCACCCGGGCGGCCGTGGGCAGCGTCGCGCCCCGGAGGGCAGTTGTCTTACGGGCGTGTCTAGCGTGTGCTGCATGCTATACGGGGGTATAAAGTGAGATTTTCGCGTGTGTGTGTATGCTGAAAAAGATTGGTGAAGAGAAGCTGAAATGCACATGGTGTTGGGGAGGCAGGAGCCCACGTCTTCGCAGGGGTCGCAGTTGCGGAACCGCTCTGGAACCCGGGTCTCTGGAGGCTTGAGTCTTGCAGGGAAGGGCTGGGCTGGAAATCCAGCAACTTGGGTCGATTTTGGCCCTTCTGGCTTTGGTGTTCACGTATCCCCCACCCCCACCCCGGGGCAGGCGCTTATGCCTCTGTTCCTGTGGCTGCTTGTGTGAGTCAGGGGGGCTGCTAAGGACCTTGTCCCCCAAAGATCAGGATTCTAGGTTTACATTGCTGATTGTGCTTCTGATGGCGGAGGTGTAGACAAAGAGACGGACCCCATTCTTGCAGTCCCCATCCATGGAATCAGATGCAGGGGGTTTAAAGAGCCAGCGCCTGTTTCTTTTTCCTGCTTTACCTCTTCTGGGGGCCAGACACTTAAGGATGAGGACTTTGAAAAGCAACTGCATGTGAAGGGAGTTTGGAAAGACCACACACATGCCCCGGGAAGGACATGTATTCAGAGAAGAACTACAGAGACCTTCAGTGTTTACCCCTGGCTGGCACAGTGATACCCTTAAAACAACAAAATCCAGCCATTCTGGTGAAGGGAGAGTTTCTGATTTCCAGAATTCCCACATTATGAGATTTCAGATGTCCAGTTTTCAACAAAATCACAAGGCATACAAAAGAGTAGGGAAGTAAGGCCCATTAAAGGAAAAAAATGAGGGCGCCTGAGTGGCTCAGTTGGTTAAGCGACTGCCTTCGGCTCAGGTCATGATCCTGGAGTCCCGGGATCGGGTCCCGCGTCGGGCTCCCTGCTCAGCAGGGAGTCTGCTTCTCCCTCTGACCCTCCTCCCTCTCGTGCTCTCTCTCGCAAAAAAAAGAAAAAAATGATGTCTCAGGAGGATGAGATGGTTTAAAACAACCATCCTAAAGACCCAGAGCTGAAGGAAGATATGCAGTCAGGAAAATGAGGTGCCCCCAAAATTCCAGAACTGGAAAGTACAGGTAACAAAACCAAAAAGATAGATGGGATGATATCAAACAAATATCTCTGCTTCAAAGGAAATAATCAACAGTAAAAGACACTTTATGAAATGGAGGAAATGCTGAAAATGCTAATACAGAGAAATGAAGATGAAACCTATGTGAGCTCACTCCCACCAGGATGGACACTCAAGAAAACTATGGTGTTGGTGAGGACATGGAGAAAACATTCAGTTTACCATCTTAACCCATTTATAAGTGTACAATCCAGTATTATTAAGTATTCACGTGGCTGTACAACAGATCTTTAGAACTTTTACATCTTGCAGAACTGAAACTCTGTCCCCATGAAACTAATCCCTCCCCATCCCCCGGCTTCCGCCTCTCAACTCCCTGTTTCTGGGATTCTGACAAACTTGGATATTTCAGGTGAACCATGGAGCACTGGTCCATTTGTGAATGGCTTACTCCCATGCAGGGTCCCCGTGGTCCATCCACACTCACACAGGTCCGGGCTTTCTATCATCTTAAGACTGCACTGACACTCCTGCATGCCCTTCTCTGCATCCATCCACCCACCCACCCATCCATCCATCATCCATCCATCATCCATCCATCATCATCCATCCATCCATCCATCCATCCATCCATCCATCCATCATCCATCCATCCATCCATCATCCATCCATCATCCATCCACCCATCCATCAATCCATCATCCAACCACCCATCTATCCATCTCTCCATCCATCCATCTATCCATCCATCCATCATCCATTCATCCATCCATCCATCCATCCATCCATCCATCATCCATTCATCCATCCATCCATCCATCCATCCATCCATCATCCATCCATCTCCAGACTGCTGGGTTGCTTCCTCCTAGTGGCTATTGTAATTCTGCACTGAAGGTGAGGTGCACACGTCTCCTGGAGATCCTACTTTGAATTCTTTTGGGCTTCTACCTAGAAGTGGGATTGCTGGCTTATGAGGACTCTAACTTTTGAGGAACCTCCATACTGTTTTCCAGAGTGGCTGCACCAGTTTGCATTTCCACCAACAGTGCACGATGTTACCTTTTTCTCTCTCTCTCTGTCTCTCATGAATAATAAAAAAAACAAAACAAAACAGCTTTGGCCCAGGTGGCTTCACTGGTGAATTCTGCCAAACATTTAAAAAACAACACCAGTCCTTCATCTGTTCCCCAGAAACAGAGAAGGGTACGTTTCCTAACTCATTCCATGAGGTCAGCATTGCCCGGATACTGAGGCCAGACGAAGACACCACAAGGAAACTGGAGACCGAGGTCCCTGGTGAATACTGACACAGAAGTCCTCAAAGGCTAGCAAACGACCGTTAGCACGTTGGAAGGATTGCTTAGCATGAGCCCATGAGGTTCCTGGGAGTCAAGGACAGCCGGCGTGCGGATGTGACGTGTCACGTTAACTTGGTGAAGGACTAGAACCATGGGACCTTCTCAGTGATGCAGAAAGAGCATTTGATCAAATGCAATACCTTTTCCTGATAAAAGCACTCAAAAAACTGAGACGGAAACTACTTCAGAATAAATGCCATCTCTGGAAAGTGCACAGCCACCATCACACTCGGTGGCAAGACTGAACACTTCCTCTGAGGGTGGGGACAAGGCCAGCATGCTCACGCTGGGCACTCCTGCTCAACAGCACTGCGGTCCTAGCCAGAGCAGGGAGATGAGAAGACGGAGCGGGCAAGTACATTGGGAAGGAGAAAATTAAATCATCTCTGTTCACAGACCACATCATTTTACATGTAGGGAACTCTAAATATTTCATACTCAAAAAAATGAACTCAGCAAAGTTTGCAGGTTATAAAATCAAGCTACAAAAATCACTTACGTCTCTATACACTGACAGTGAACAACCCAAGAAGTACATTAAAATAATTCCACTTATAATAGGATGAAAAAGAAAATTTTGGGAACTAACCAAGGAGGTGGAAGATGTGTTCACTGCAAAGCATAACACTGCTGAAGGAAATGCGGAGATGAACATATGCCAAGACCCGTGTTCGTGGGCTGGAGGACGTGATATCGCCCGGCTGTCCGGGCCGCCCAAAGTGGTCTGCGGATTCGGTGCAGCCCTTCTCTCAATCCCAACGATGCTTTTCGTCGAAATAAACCCATCCTAAAATTCACATGGAAGCTTCAAAGAATAGCTGAAATTGTCTGAAAAAGAAGAATAAAGTGGAGGACTCACGCTTCCTGATTTCAGAACATGATTCAAAGCTGCAGCAATCAAGGGGGTGGGCGGCTGGCGCGGGGACTGCTGAAGGCGCCAGGAGCCTGCTCTGCGTGGAATGAGGCTTCTAAAGGCAACTGGACCTCGAGCACGGTGGCGGGAATGCAGATAGTGAATAAATGATAGCAGAGGCACCCAATCTGGGGGCAGCCCAAGGAGAGGGACCGTTTCCCGTGGCAGCACTTTCCTAAGACCTTGTCCGGAGGGAGGGCCTGACCATCAGGTCTGCAGCCTCAGTGAGGGCCTCAGCAGTCCCCTGAGCACCAAGGTCTGCCCTGGACCAGGCCCGCCGGGCTGGCTGCAGGCCCCTGAGCCTTGCGGTATTGGTGACCGCACCCCTGTCCTGGGCTGTGGGAGTGGGAGTACCCTGTGACCCAGTAATTCCGCTACTGTTTGTCCAAAGGAAATGAAATCAGGACATGGAAAAGATACCGGCAGCCCCACGTTCACAATATTACTTATGTAATGTTCTTCCCAAAAATGTTTAATCTGAATCTAGTCATGGGAAACAATATGGTAAATCAAAATAAAGTGCATTTTGGAAAATAATTGGTGTGGGATCCTCAAAAAGTCAGAGTTGTGACAGACAAATGGGCTGGGGACCCGATGGAGAGACGGGTGTGAGTGGCTGCGGGAGTTTGGGGGCGGGAGGATGGAGCAGTCATGATGGAGAACACTGGGGAGACAGGTGTTGTAGGGGCCCAGGGCGGGTGTCCCCCCCAGAATGTGCCACCGGCGCACCGGTCATTTTGGATCGAAGCTTCTGGGGAAACAGCTGCTGGGAGCGCCTCAGGCCCTCCTCTGTCCCCTGAACGCAGGACACGAATCTCCCGTCAGAAAAACACCGCTCCAGACTGAGAAGTAAATGATGGGGCCTGTGAAGCCAAGAAAACTGTAGAAATAAAACCTTGTTGTTTTTCTAATCTTCTACCTCAGTCCACCCACATTTTTATTTAGAATTCCATCCTAATTAACGCTCCCAAACCCCTGTTTTCCTTACCCTGTAAATCCTGTGAGTTCCTCATGAACCCATCATCTCAAATGTATGAAATCTGCCTGCCGTGGTCCTTATTGGGCCTCTTGCGCACACGCAAGAAAACTTTTCTTTCTTCCTGTTAATCTGTCTCATGTCGAATGAATTCTTAAACCTTGAAGATAAAGGAAGAATTCTCCTTCTGTGATACTGTATTTTATTTTATTTATTTTTAAAAAATATTTATTTGAGAGAGCGAGCGAGCACAAGCCGGGGGAGAGGCAGAGAGAGAAGCCAACTCCCCGCCCACTGGTATCATGACCTGAGCCCAAGCCAGACGCTTCACCAACTGAGCCAGCCTCCCAGGCGCCCCGTATTTACTTTTAAAGTAGGCTCCATGCCCAGCGTGGAGCTGAATGTAGGGCGTGAAC